AGTGGAGAACTCAATCGTCTTGTCCCAGTACGAGCCGTATACGTCCTTCATGCATGGAAGTAGCCTCTGTAGGGATCTGCAGATTTCGGCTGACAGCGCGGGTGTGAGGCTGGGGATGTCGTCCATCCAAGACGTGATCTGGCGTACGGCAAAGACGATGCGGTTGTTAGCAACGGGGACCCCGCCAACCTCGTACACTTGCAAGCATGCGTTGAGGAGGACCAGGATAAGCAGCGTCTTTTCGACCTTTTCAGGCTCAACACTAGCGCCCGCAATGTCGCTTACAAGACGGTTGCACAGATTGTTGATGGCTTTTGATGACTCCAGACTCTCACCGAAGCCGGCGAGCACAGCCGTCGCCGCCAGGATCGTTGGTGGTGTGGCCTTGAGTGTGGCCAGCTGGTTGATCTTCTCGTCTCCGGCAGCAGGGAAACCGTGCTTCTCGGCAAGGTTCTGGAAGAGGTCGCTCAATGCTCTAGAGCTGTAGACGCCCAACGGGGTGAGTTCCTTGGTCTCCTGCGTCATGATGGCGATGAGACCGTTGACCAGCTTTGTGGAGCCAGTCTCCGAGCCGTCCCTCCATCCCTTGGCTTCGTCAACAATGGCATTGATGGTCACACGGGTGGAAGAGACGAATGACTCGGCAGAAGCAAGCGCGTCTCCCATCTCGAGGTTCAGGAAGAGCTTGTTCTCGTCCATGAGTGTAATCTGGTCCGATACCATCTGAACCGCGACACAAAGGAGGTAGAGCAGCTCAACCTGGAAGCTGTCAGGCAGACTGGAGACCGAAATATCCGATGACAAGAGCTTAGAGGTGTAGGATGCCATTCTAGCCGGGATAGAGAGGCCGTCTCGGTCTCTGCGCACACGAAGGCGCTGGTCAGACTCGGCAGGTTGAACGAGGAAATGAGCGCCGGCCAGACCGCTGGTTATTGACAAAGACGGGTTGAGCTTAACCTGGAAGAACTTTGAGAGCTGCTGCATCCAGATGTTCGTGCTCGGGAACAAATCCTCGATGGCGATAGACCCAGCTTGGGACGCCTGGAGGGCTTGTTGTACCAGTGTTTCGACACCAAGTGACTGTGGTCCAGCGTCTTCGAGGTTTCTCTGGATAATAGTGACGACTGGCGATACCCCATCCGCGGGCTGTTCCAGTAGCGCTCTCAGCGAGGCCGCACGGGTAGATATTGCCCTGTCGTTTAGTTCGGCAAGTCCCAGCAGCTCAGTCACGACCGCCATGTGCGTTGACTCGTCTTGCGACAAGAGTCCAGGCTTGTTATTCGCAATGATTTCCAAGGAGCGAAGGGTCTGGCCAGAGTGCTGCTTGTCTTGCGACAAGGCCGACACGCTGTTGTCTAGCAATTGCTTGGCGGTTGAGTCGGCGATGGCATTGTTGGCAAAGGCGGCCTCGAACAGACTCCAGGCATCCAACTCTCCGCGGGCTGTGCTAGAGCACTTGAACGCGATGAATTTCTGGAGCTGCTCGTGTGATTTAGAGAGCTCCGACGCCTTTTGGTTTGCAATGAGACGCTCGATGCCCCTAATGGCCTGCGAGTCACCAGATAAGCTCAACAAAGCCTCGATCCAGGTCTTCCAGATACCGGCGTAAGTTGCATTTTGTCCCTCGAGAGTGCCCAGGGCATTGACGCAGTTCAGCAGATCGGGACCAGACCGTGACAGAATCAAGACGTCCATGCGATCTCGGCCTTGTGTTGACAGGAATTGCTCCAGAGCTTGAGCAGCTTCCGCATCTCTCCACACGCGCGGAGCGTTCTTGCTCACGCTGTAGAGCACTGCAGCTGCTCCATAAGGCTTGAGATTTCTTGTCGCCAGGAGGTCCACGCTGCATTTAATGATGGCCCTTGAAGGCTCGATGAAGAGAGTGTCTGTTGGTTTTGCCTTTTGAACTTGGCCAACGAGGGTGAACCAGCGGGTTCCCTCGGAAGCAACAGCCTCTTGAGACTTTTCATAGTCCTTTGAGACCTCTGGGAGTGAGTTGGATATTCTACCACAGAAAGCCGACGAGAGCAGCCCCAGCTTGTCGGTTGTTGCCGCCTTAAGTTCCTCAGATGATGAGCCGACAGAGACCTCGTACACTTCGGCTAGCACAGGAAGTCGTCCGTTTCCAGCAATCTCCCATGACGAGTTTTCGGGTGTGGGTAAGATGAAGTGCTCAATTAGAGGGAACAGATGTTCTTGAACAAGTGTTGCCCTCTCACTGTCGGAAGGAAAGTTTTTCAATAGATGCTTGGTAGTTCTGGCATAGCAGGTCCACGCCGCGGTAGCGTTCATCCGCGGTTCCTCTCTGCTTGTAATTCCCGTCCTCATTGACTTGAGCGCGTCAGCTGAGGCTTCGACCGTGAAGAGTTCAGTTGGGATGGCCTTGATCAGGTGCTCGAGGTGCTCCCAGTACTTGGCGGAGCTGCTCTGGGAACCCTTCTCCAAGAATCCATTCAGTCTGGTGATCGGGGTCTTCTTCTCGCTTGAGCTCGTCCAGATCTCGGGGAACTTGGTCGTCAACTTTGTGAGAACTCTGACATACTCGACAGCCGATCCCACTTGACTGCTCTTGAGCCCCTCGGCGACGAAAGTCTTCTTCAGGCGAGAAATTTGTGAGGATACGGGGTCGAATCTCTTGTCGAGGCAGGCCCACAAGAGCTGGCACGCCGTCTTCTTAACCGAGCTATCTCCCGTGACCACACTTTTCCAGACCTTCTCTTCGGCGAAGAAGGTGTCGTATGCCTCCTCTTCCTTTTGAATGTCGGTCGACTCGAGCTTTTGCAAGAGACCAAGTACAAGAGAGAGACTTGCCCCTATGACCCGGAGGTATTTGGCCTCGGCATCGTCGGCCGTCGTGGATCGTTCGTCGCTCAGGGTGTCCTTGGTCTCTTGGATAGCGTCGGTCGCATATGTCAAGATCTGTGACTGGCACTTGTTCCAGAACAGCGCGACCTTTTCTGGGCTGCTGAGGAACGAGGAGAGACCATCGTTTGCTGCCCTCGACACAACTCTATCCTTGTCGTATAAGCCAGCGAGCCAGGTGCCGACAATCTTGGGGACGCGCTTTTCCATGCGCTTCCGTGCCGACTTCATCAACTCGAACTGCAGGGTGTGGGAGAGTTCGCGGACGCGGCGGGAGTTGTCTATCGAGATGCGAGGGTATATTTGAACCTACATAAATCAGTACATGGCCATCAAGCTTTACAAGATTCTGGGAGTAACGTACCCATGCTTCCAAGATAGACTCTTCTACACCTCCTTCTACTTCGAATGGGTGAGCCTGTACGTAGGCGAGGAGGTCCTCGAGTGCCTTTGCTTTCGTTGTGGCATCTTTCTTGAGGGCGTTCTTGAATGCGACAATGACGTTCGCATCAGATATGGAGGTCAAGTTGGGGGGCTCAGAGAGGTAAGATAGACCACTACCTCCGGCGGAAGAGAAGCCACCGAAGCCAGCAGGCGTTGGACTGCCGAAGCCCCTCGCGGCGCCGGATGATCGGCCACTTTTACCAAAGGCACGCGACATGATCTAGTGTGAATGAAGGTAGTGTTGAAGTATTGTTGTTGGGATATCGGTGTAGCTCAGATGCACGAGTTCGCGCGGCGCAAGAAGGCAGCTGGAGAGCTCGAATATGACGTTGGCGGGGTAATTACAACGAGGTGCACAAATGCGAAATGCGAAATGCGGCGGGCAGGGCACCACCTTATTTTCCTTGGTCGAAATATCGGAGATAGATGAGCAAGAGGGACTGATAGCGGAGATGGGTATGCAAAAGTCTATTAGAAAAAGAAAGGCTTTCTCCGACTGAATCGTCCCCCAAGATAAGGTAGTGAATGCAAAATGATGACCAAACGAAGTCGAATCCAAAGAAAAAGTTTGGGTCGCAATCGAAGAATGTTGCGCCGCAAATACCTTACATACCTAGCAGCGCCGAGTTGACTCAGGCCGAGCGAACAATTTGAGCCCCGGCCAATGTGCAACAACGGCGAATGAAAACGGACGAGATGCCCCGCCAAAGCTCCCTCTGATGATGCTGTCATCGGTACCTGCCCCCCCCCCCCCTCTTCCAAGCCTATTTCTCTGTCTTAGGTAAGCGTGTCTCTACTTACCTTACAGACAGCTTGTCTTAGGTCAGCATTCTACACGTGATTCACTCGCTTTCTGGCTTCACCCGTGCACACTTGCATTCTTATCGCCCATTCCTTATCCATCCGCGTCGATTGGGCCGCATTTATCACAGCTCCAAAGTGGTAAGACAACCTAGGTGCCCCACTTTCCAGCCACTGGCGCAACTCTGCACCTGCGTCACTGGCCAGTTGCACGAATTCGGGGTCGTTCGGCGGTTTCAAGCGTTCCTCGGGCAAGAGGGCCACTGTCCGCAAAGGCTTACCCCGCAAACTGCCCTGCTGAAGGCTCTCCACCTGGGCGTGCACCTCAGTGGCCCTCAGCCCACGGTGCCCACCCGGCTCACTGCGGGAGCAGCGCTAGGGAGCGGTAACTGTGGATCCCACCTCTCCCATTGCGACCTACCAGTGTCCCAACCCGGCCAGTCGCAGCTGATTGCCGCTTGCTGCTTGCTGCTCCCTCTGGCCCGTCTTAGGTAGGTTGCCCATCGGTCCATTCTATCCGTCCAGTACCTTTTGAACTCTCGCTACCTCTTTCCTTCCAACCTTGCTCGCCTCTCTCTTAACGTCACCGAGGTGGCGGATTGATTTTCAATTTTTACCTCTTCAACTCTTCCTTCCAAGCAATATTTGTGTCGTACAGCCTACATGCGGGTCGTGATACGAGCAGCTCCCCCCCTCACTTCTCCCTCGTGTAAGTCGTTCCGGTTTATTCACGTGCGCTCGAGTCCGAATACTCGCTGGCCGCATTTGGCCGACCACTCTCTGCCCTCGAGAAAGCACGACGCGACCACGCTCGTTGGATTCATTTTTCGCTGACTTCTGCATGTAATTAGTCTCGGGAGCATGGTAAAGGCACAAAGCGTAAATCCATCATCATGCTCGCCACCGTTTCTCGCTCCTCGCCTCGCGCGGGCGGTCTCTACCCCAGCAGAGCCTCCACGGTGGGATCACTGGTATCCTCGAACCAGACACCCATGAGGGCCAGCCACTATGGCCAAACTCGCGGCTTCCGCTTCGGTGCGTGGTCATCCTACTTGGACCCCGAGGTCCAGCGTCAGCTACGTCTTCGTCAGCGCCACATCAAATACAAATACATGGAATCGATCAATCGCAACCTCGGCAAGTATGCCAACCCGACACTGAACGACCGCCCTCCCGAGGAGCTCTCCCAGCCTGCATACGAAGACCTGGACAAGTACCGTCCGGTGATGCATAACGAGAATGCTGAGGTTCCGGAGCCACATGAGCGATATACAGATTTGCACAAGTATGGCCCCATCATGCACAATGAGAAGGATGTGGTGGAGGAGAAGCAGCCCTACGACGACCTCCACAAGTACGGCCCAATCATGCATAACGAAAAGGACGTCTTGGAGGAGACGCAGTCATATGACGACCTCCACAAGTATGGACCGAGCAGTTTCAACGAACCTGAGGGATTACGCCCCCGTTCCGACGAGGAGAAATCAAAAGACTACGACGACCTTCACAAGTATCGCCCGCATTCTTTCAACGAGCCGTCGGGTCTGCGCCCCGTGCATCCCGAGGAAGCCTCCAAAGCTTACACTGATCTGGACCAATATGGCCCCATGTCTTATAACGAACCCCACGGACAAGCTCCCATGCACCCGGAGGAGGCATCCAAGGCATACGCAGACCTCGATGCCTACAACCCTGTCGGCTGGAATGAGCCGCACGGCAAACCGCCAATGCACCCAGAGGAAGCCTCAAAGCAGTATAAGGACCTTGGAAAATACTCTAAGGAGTTCAAACGCGGTGATGCACCGCCACCAGAGGGTGTTATTGCAGCGGTTGAGCCTGAAGAGGCGGCCAAGCACCAGCCTGTGCAATACAACGAGCCCGAAAGCCAGCGCCCCAAAAATGACTGGGATCAGAAGGCTTTCGACGAGGCCAAGCAGTATGAATCTTTCCGCTACAATGAGCCCGATGGCCAACCTGCCGCCGTTATCGACCCTGTTTCCAAGGGTTTGGGTGACTTCGATGCGGAGGTCGCTGCGAAGGCAAACAGACGCAAGTCTTCTGCTCAGACGTCAGAGAAGGAGAGAGCAGACGATTTGGACCTGCTCCGAGCCAGCGATGTTCGGGCCAAAATTCCGACGTCTTCGGGCCAGTCCCGGAGAGAGTACAGCACGACGAACAGACAGATTCTCGAAGCCGATCTTCCCCGATATGCCGTGAACTGGGATATCTCGAGCAAAGCTGCCCGTATTGCAGTGCGCCAGTCTAGAAACAAGGCGTGGGATCACATTCCCTCCAAGAAGGAAAACCTTACTGGCAACTATGTCAGGGACTTCCCCGAAGACTTTTCGCGGAACTGGAACGACATTGTTGCGGCTGCCGCGGATAGTCAAAAGGTTGAGGAAAGCAAGGACCAAGACGAGGTTGAGGCCGCGTCCTTTGATGAGAGTTTTCCGAGTCTGGAACGCAAATTGGAGCCTTCCCTGGACCGGTCGTCTTCCTTTAGGACCACTCGCATTGCGGGAAAGAGAGGTCAAATTGACCAGTATTCAAAAGAGCCTCAGGGCCTTGAGGTGAGCTACTCCGAGGAGTGCGGTGGCAAGCAGACCTGGCCATCCTACGTCCGGACATATGGAACTGTGACGGACGCCATGACCCATGCCTCTTCAACCGCACAGGAAGCGGTTTCCGCTGCCAAAAGCGAGGGTGTGGTATCCCCGACTGCAGCCGAGGCACCCCGGGAGCCTACCATTTACAAGATTCTTGCATACGACCCGACAATGCAGGCTATCAACACAGCCGAGACCACGTCGGTCGTCCCCGACAGCGCAACACCGCTAACGCCAGCGGAGGTTATTCTACGGTTGTCGAACCCAACCAAGTTCTTCCCCTACTTTAGCACTCTGCAAAAGGAGGGATACGAGATTGTTTCCGGAAGCGGAGACGTCCTGGTATTCCGCAAGGTCCGCGAGGCAGAGACGGCATCCAAGGAGCAGACTGCTGCTTCCTTCGCCCCTGCGATCGAGAAGCCGACGACATACCAAGCGCCAAAGGTGAACCCCATCGACATGATGGGGAGCGACCCCGTAGTACCAAGCGCTTACTCTTCCAGTCCTACAGGCTACCTCAACTATGATTACCCCGGAGCGGAGACATCAGAGAAACCCCCGCCTCCCTTCAGTCCGCTGAGGAGGCGCAACACGATAGCCTGTGACAGCCAGGATCTCGAGCCTCCAAAGCGGCCGAAGAGGAGCCGGGCCAAGAAGGTTGTTCTTGGCGCCGTATGGGTCGGCGGGATTTCTTACGCGATCGGTGTCGTTGGAGAGTATTTCAAGACTGGAGGCAAAGATGGTCAGGGGCCTAAGGGTTTGTAGGCAGATGTCGTGAGGGAGGGTTCTGCGGATTGATTTGGGATTTGGTTGGGATGGTTTATATACCTTTTCCGGTTGTAGGATTCGGCTGCCATTTGAGCCAGGCAAACTCTCCATTGTATCAGTAGCACGCTCAATGATGCAATAGTCACTTCTCACTCTTGTCGCACGCTGCTGCGACTGACGCGATTTGGGTGACTTGCTGATGGTTTCGTGCTCTTTCACAAGCGGCACTCGCAAACAAGGGGGATATCGAAGCCATATGGGATGATGAATATTTGATGATACAACCTAGTAATACACTTTTTTGAACGCCGTGCCTTCCTAGCTATCCGACGGCGACTTCATCCATGCTCTCCATCATTACCAATCTTCTTGTCCAGGCATAGGGACCGCCTCGGGTCGGGAAAATTCCGTCTTCAACAACACCAAACCCCCCTTCAACACCACGACCTCCCATTCGCATGACTCAACCGCAACGTTACCGCCGATTCTCAATTTCTTGTTGCGGATCTTTGCCCTCGGACTTTTTACGAACGCTCGGTGAACCCAGGGCCAGTCTTCACATCCTCAATGTGACTCATCTGCAGCGCGCGCTTCTGGTCTTCCTGATTCCAGCTCTGACGGCGCTCGAAGGAGGGTTTCCAGCTGCTTGTCGTGGACTCGACGATGGCGCGCGGGGTTGTGGCTGATGGGGAGGATTGCTTGTTGTTGGAGGAGGAGGAGGTTGGGGAGGTGGTGTAGTTTGAGATGTCGGGTTGGGCGGTCTGTTCGGATGCCATTTTGGAGGTGTTGGACGTTTGGTTTTATTTGAAGATCTTTTTGAGGTTTGGGGAGTTTGGGGTTTCCTGCGGATGTTGGAAAGGTTGATGTTTTGTATCGTTTGAGGTTTGGTTTGGTTTGGTGATGTAGGTCAGGTAGGTGGAGAGCGTGGGGAGTCTTTATAGTTTATGCTCGGAGTCGTTGGAATGTAGAGGTTTGATTACACGACGACGGGGTGCAGAGCAACGGGGAGCAGGTGAGTTTCACGAGAGGAAAGAGCGTGGAAGATGAAGAGGAGGAACGAGATCTTTTAAACTTCCCATGTACCTCCTCCTTTGCCATACGTGCTTTCCTTCTTTCACTTTCGGGGTCCAATTGCGCCTTTGAGGTTTGGCGCTGCATACACACCACCACCACCATCACCACCACCACCACCACACCACAGCGCGCCACTTCTCTCCGGATGTGTTTAACCTGTTTTGACTCACTCCTCCTCTTTCATCTTCCTTCTCAGTGATCGTCGCTGCAAGAGAACGATGCTCGAGAACTAGCCTATCTCCTCTACTTACTTACCTACCTGCCCATGCTCCCGCGTTTTGATGCAACCTACGCCCTGCCTAATGCAGATATGACGAACCCCCCTCAGCTCTGAAAGACCCCCCCGTCAAAACATCCGTCTTACAAGAAAGCAGACGACAAACGACGCATGGATGTACGGGCACTAGCCTCGAGAGGTGTGGTAGTTAAGAATCTTCCCGTATCAGACGATGATCAGCCCAGCAGAGGCTGAACGTACAAACATCGTAGCTCATTTCTCTCCTTTTCTGCCCCGCGTTCCGTTGGCGGTAAAGTAGGTGGCATGAAAGAAGGGTAGGATGAGCTAGGTAGCTACCGCTAGAACATATCGCCACTGACACCTGTGTGATCGGGGTACCGTGTGTAATCGGCAGCTCTGTTCCATTGACGCCACCACACACACCCTCGTCGTCATAAAACGGTTCTCGAGCGTATACATACGTCTTTCGACTGTCGCCCTTTGCTCAGATCAGCACGGAAGGCGAGGGTGCGTAGCACAACCGCTACCTACGCCTCGTTACGCAGACAGCCCTCCAACTTCAGTCCAACTGACTGCCGGTACCCTGCGCCCGGGCACTCGCGGCACTACCTGTATTCAAAGGTACTGAAGTGCCAACCAGCGAAGCTCAATCACCTAACCCATTCCTCACCGTAATTATCCACCAAAAGAATTCTTCTAACCATCCCTTCAGTCCCGGTGCACGAAGAACCTCGAAGAGACATTCACACCACCGGAAAAGCACCTTACACCCTAGGGCAGGAAACAAAAGCAACCACCGCCGTCATTGCGGGGTAGGTTCGGGGGGGGGGCCCAGACCCGTACTAAATTAGGCTTATCGGACGTTATCAGTCAACGAGGGTCCGTGCACTGCACCAAGCCGGCCCCACACGAGCTCCGGGATCACCGCGCAGGGAAACGGAGGAACGACATGACGCTGCAGATTCCGGCTTCCTTCGTCGTAACTTGCCTTATCTTACCTTACCTAAACTGAGCCGTTTCTTCATAAGAAGTATGATAAATGTAGAGTTACAGGTTCGAATGTCTGTCAGACTGTGTTCGTTCGATTACTGCGAGATGAGTCTTCTTAGAATCGCATTTGAGAGAGGGCAAGGTCGGTCCATGTAATCGGAGCCGAAGGTCGGAATCGAGATGCGGTGTGTTTTTTCCGGGCACGAGCTGGACGCGGCAGGGATGAGCGCGTGACGGCGTGGACCTCCCGTCTCAACACCCATTGCATCTCAGCTGGTTCATCAGTATCCTGTCAAAGGAGAGCCTCATGGGACGCGAAGTCATTCAAGATCGCAGGCAGCCTCATTAGAACAAACATGATTTTTATTCGCCAGACCTCTCTGATTGAAGATGAATCTTCAACTTTTCTAAACCCCTCCCATCCATCCATCCAACACCATCCCATTCGTCCCACCCATCATCATTTCCATTTCCCGTGACCGACCGCCCGCCAGCCCAATTCATATCCCATCTTTCTTCGTATAAACCTTGCAAAACTCAACTTCAAAAGACGAAACAGGTGAGACGAAAAAATCCATCAAAAATCAAGAGACACACACTCCTCGCTTCCAAATCGATTGTAACCTGGATGCCGCATGTATCTCGTCTAACGGGGTCGGTGTCGGGGTTATAGGCGCGGGCGTGTTACGGTGATTTTTGTTTCGCGTGCCTTGGGGGGAATCTTTGGGGTAAAAATAAGGAGGCCGCCCTTCTCCGGAGGTATAGTAGTAGTAGTGGAATCGTACAGTAATAATACGTTGAAACAGAAAAACGCCTTGCGCTATGCAGCCAGTACACACGAGTTGGTTTTGCCCAATGGTGGTTTTTGAGAGCCAAGGTATAGACAGTAAAAGGGTGTGATGCAAGACGAGAGAAGTGAGAGGCCATGCTCGGTATATGCACGCCATCAGTTCAGCCTCAGCAAGGCAAAAAGGGTGTAGAAACCCCGAAAAAACATGGGATGAAAAGCGATAGATAGACCAAGGTTCAAGGTGTACGGGGGCGCTTCCAGTAGTATTGCTAAACCCAGCATGTTAACTTCAACCTCTTTACTTCTATGCTTTATTAATCTTACCTTGTGCTGCTTGCGACACGCGCGCAGGCTGGGCTTGCGCAGACCATCCGTCACGGCAAGGCGGCGCTGGTCGTCGTCGTCGAACTCGGGGACGTAGTAGTACTCGCTCTCGAGCTGCTTGCCAGCAGCGTCCTTGCCCTGGCGTTGAATGATACCAATGCATGCCGTTGCCTCGATCAGACTTCGGAGCTGGTCCTTTGTCAACCCCTTGCGCTCTTCCGACGGCAGGTTGTTCATGATGGTCGACAGGGGGTTGGACGACAGACGCGAAAAGGCCAGCTGGTTGACGACATGGTTGCGGACGGTAGGATTCTCGTAGGGGGGCTCCGCTTCCTTGACTTCCTCCTCGTCTTCTAGCACCTCGCCTTCTTCAGCGTCCTCTGGCGACTTTGGCGGCGCGGAGATGGGACTAGAGGGCCTTGATTCGTCGCGGACTGTGGGCAGGCCCGTTCGCTTGAAAGGAGGGAACTTGGGAGACGCAGTAGTGATGGAGGCCAAGCGGTTGGAGATATCTGCCCCAAAGGGTCCAAACGAGTGAACAATCGGGTCATTCTCCTCGTCAGGGTCGTTCACGTTCTCGTCTTCCGGCTCACTGAGTTCGGACGAGAAGGAGTTGGTGGCCTCGGTAGCGAAGCTCTGACCAATGATGGTGCCCGAGTCAACCAGCTTGGGAAGCTCGGGCTCGTCTGCACTCGAGTCCTCGTAGATTTGCACTTCCCCATCTTCCCTGGGCAAAAGAGCCTGGAGTCGCTGCGAGCTGCTGAGATGCGCCGTTGGTGAGTCTGGGGACTCGATGCGCGAGGGCCGGCGCAAAGGGCTCGACTGCAAAAGGTCGGCGGCAACGCGGGCAGCGGACCGAGGAGGCGAGTCACCCCAAGCAGAATCATCGGGGCTGGCGAGGCGGTCGCGACGGTCCCGCTTCGGCCATTGGATCATGACACGGGCGTCCTGAACGTCAATCATGATTTCGGTCCCTTCTGTTTCGGACGTGAAGGAATCGCCCTTGAGGAGCTCCCACGTACGGCCCTGGCAGTGAAGCTTCAACCCGTTCCAGCCATTGCAGATGATTTCAATCTTGTTGGGCTCCAGAGCGGAGGGAGCAGGCACGTAGCGGGCCTTGACGTGGATGCGGGACACGAGGCGGTTTGCGGACAGCTGGTAATGGGACGAGTTGCTAGAGCGGCCCATGAGGAGAGTTTCGCCATTCTCGTTCAGTTCGATGGAGCTGACAGCACTGAGGGGAGTGCGCTCGGAGGCGGTAGAGAGTGCTCGAGACAGACCACCAGGTCTTGAGTGTACGCGGGGCGGAGAGGAGGATAGGATGCCGGTGCTCGAGGTCGGGATCGGGGTGGGATATTTCAGGTACGCGTTGCTTGCTCCCACAGAACCGGGACGAGCTTGTCGTTTGGAGGGTCTAGGGAAGCCCGGGGACGAAGAGAGAGGTTCGAACGCCGGGAGAAGGCTCGGGGCAGGACGTTTGGTGCCGGCCAGAGGAAGCGTAGGCTCCTGGGTCTTTGATCGGGGCGAGGAGTCGAGCATTATGGCGACGACAGCATGCCCAAGCTAGGAGAGTGAGAGTGC